AGAAATATGCACAGAAAGTAGAAATTCGACTATATCAAAGAAAATTTACAGAAAAATATTATTTCGCTATATATGCACTTTAATTATAATTTTTTAATTTTCCCTTGGAATACTTTAATATTATTTTAAATATGATCTATATACAAGATAATGAGAACTGTGCAAAACGATTATACGGAAAGATTTTAGACTATACATGTAATTTGCTTTTTCATTTGGATGAGTCTTTAAAGTCAGAGTAATTTCATAATATTATTGTTTAGTCACGCTCCAAAAAGAAATAACTACTTCGTTTGGAAATTTTACAATTGTAATTACATTGATGTGAATCGAATAATCGTAAGAAAAGAATGAAAGGCATTTCCCCTTTCTTTGCGAACGAGATAATCTCGGTATATAAACCGGAAGTGGATTTATGGGACACTGATCTTCGAACGATAATTTATTAGAACTGGTCTCAACGAAAGTCGAGGGCGAATAGTCGTAAAGTTTCTTTCTCTACATCAACAAGATTAGAAAATTCTCCAATTATGTTCATTCCGAATGACCAATGAATGAACAATTTCCTACTTTTTCAATAGTTTAGTATGATTTTGTTTATTTTCTTCAAATCTGATTAAGATGAAAATAAAAATTTATATAAGTTTTTACGAATTCAATTTTTAATGTTACTATATTTTCATGTATTGGATTAAATAGTTATTATTGATAATAATATAAGAATATATTTTATAATTGACAATTGTACACTTAATACATAGTAGAAAAAGCAGTCTTCAATAAATTTACAATAGAAAATCACATCATATAAATTGTGATCTTACTGAAAAAATCCTTACGATTTTATCAAGAATCGTAGAATATTTTTATTTCGTGTAAAATTTAATTTATTCCACAGTTTTTAACTGAAATTTGTATTATTTCAATAATATTCGTATATTGTATTAATTTTCTGGATGTGTGTAGAAAACATCCAATTTAACAAACTTTCAGATCAACAATAAAATATATTTCAATACATTTTAAAGTATAAAGTATAAACAAGGAAACCATGATCAATCTATCATACTTTGAAGGTTTTTCGAATAAATTCTTTTTAATAAATACATTATACTTTTTCATAAAATGTCATTTTATCTTGGAATCCTTCGCAATTAATAACGAAATCTTCAACGGTTCTCTATACTGTAGCTTCCGTTATAAGGTTCCACTTATACATATAACGTGATACCGTGATAAGTAGATTCACCCCATAATAGGAAGACATTGATCCAAGGGGCGGGAAATGTCACGTGGAACGAAGAACATTTTTTTATCGAGGCTAGGGGACTGATTTGGCTGTAGGCGGTAAGTATTGAGCTGCTGGAAGAATAATGCCAGCTTTGTAGGTGCATAAGTAAATTCATTTATCATGGCGCTTTCGATACAATTAATCATCTATAAAAAGTGTCAGTATCGTTTAATGGTTATGTTTCGCTTCTTCACGTTCACTTGTCATGCCTATAATCTGTGGACATTGCGAAGAAGACGAATTCTTTTTTATGAATTATAAACTTTTTTATATCAATTTTTATTAATTTTATGTAAGTTGAAATTGAAATTAAATTTAATTTCATAAAAATGAATATTGAAAATATAAATTAAGCTACAATTGCTAGTGCGTTTGAATACAAATTCAATGACCTTTTTGGCAATACAAACCTATACCAAAGAATCTAACATTTAAGACATTTTTAGAAGTCTTTAATAAGAATAATTATTATTTTTATATACAATAGTGTTTTTAATGTATATGTAAAATCCTTTTTTTGTACTCGTTCAACAAACTCATGCTTGGCCAGTTAAAGTTAGGAATAAAACTACTGATCCGCAATATGTTAACCGTTAAATATGGACGTGCAATCTCACAGACCTCCATATAAAATATCAAGAAGTTTGAAATCAGTGAAATTTTCGTTATACAGTTGACACTATTGCTATGTAGAGATATTTAAATAAGTAAAAATAAAGAAATACAGTAATATTTTTTATTAGTTGCTACAAATGAGAAAATTTGACATTAATCGGTAATTTGCAGACTTCTACAGTTAACATTTGAACTACTAGACAAGTAAAAAATGATTCATCTTGAATTTATATTTTTGCTATTTTTTAAAAAAACATTATGCACTATATGGTTCACTAATATGCATTCTAAGGTATACATCAATTGCAACCCTAACACTAAATGGAGCCTCAAAAAGGACTCTTCTAAAATCGATTCTCTAAAGCTTAAATTTATCTACTTTTTGCAGCATTGTTGGTTAAAATCGATACCTCTTAACTTTTACGAATATTTTTTGGGAAAATTCAATTCTGATAATCCATTGGTTATGATCGAGGGCCCACGTGCAGTTCGGTATTATTCCGAGGATGTAATAACCATACTCTATACTTTCGCTTGAGCGATTTTATGTGGAGGGTGAAGAAAATAGTCTACCATCGGATCCCACAGTTTTGAGAATATCGACAAAGAAGTTGGTTCGTCGCCTTTGTAACATCTGCGCCGCCTACGAATGTTCACGGTAATTCAGTCTCTCGGCTGTAAAGCCATATTTCCCGCGTATTCGTCAGAATTTTCGATGGTTCCTTTGGTGAAGAGCTAGGGCTGAAAGCGAGACGTGGCTTAGAATTTTCCCCTCGGCATAGTTCTTCCCTTCTTGTAGAAACTTCTCGCCATATCGGTAAAAATTTCGATGGTCAACGACCGAGACTTCGGATAGGCTGCTCTGAATCGATATCCGGTGAAATAAAACTTTGAAGGACAAATTTCTGTGAATATACAGAGAAAAAACTTACATAGCGCCATTAGAAATTATCCTAACTACATAGCTTGCTGTTTGAATAGTTTCTAAGGCTGTTGGAAATATAATTTTGATTAGAAACCATGGGTAGGTTAAAGTCGTTTGTATCTGTGATAATAAATTTTTTAAAATTTAAGTAAATTTAACATTTTAAGCTTAGTATTTTGTCGCGTAGAATAAAAAATATTTGACAATGTTAAACTTGTAAGGTTTTCACTTAAATTTCTGTATCTTAAACTTCTTGTAACTTACATTTCTGTATTCGTTTGAAAATTGTGTGTAAGCATTAAAAAGTGGGTATGTATAATGTTAATAAAAAAAAAATATGTTACGTGGTATGGAGAAATGACAAATGACAACTTATTGTTCTCTATCCTGAACTTGTGGAACGACCTAATATTTCATATAATGACTACAAGGCACAAAATTAAATTTTCAATTGATAAATACCAATAAAAACGTTTCAATTCAGTGCACACAGTATTAAGTGTTCAAGTTTTAGATATTCTGATATATAACTTTAAGTAAATACTTTGAAACTTAGAGAAGTTTTAAATAATGATATTGCCCTGAATGAATAGTGAAATTCCGTTGTAATGACACCGTATGCGGAGAATGTAAATAAAAAGTGAAAATAAGAGTTGGTATTTTCTAGACGAAGAAAGAAGCAGAATATGGGTTGGATATGGAGGGTGAAGTGGAATTTCAAGCATGAGTCTCATAATGGTCTGGCACATATTAGTTTATCTCGTAATGATGCCAACGAAGCGGCAGACACTCCCTAGTAATTCCTTCAATGCTGTGTGCTCCAAGGAATTTGTCCTCGGTGACCTCAAGAGAGGTGCAAGCTGTCACTCGTAATTACTCATCCAGATCGATTAAATTTGAGTCGATAAACAATTAACGGCGCAACGTGTTTAGATCATGGTTACTTCTGCTCCCAACAAATAATAAACACTAGCGGGTTCAGTGAAATGACTGGTTTCAAAATATGATTTAAAATTCTGCGCCTTCTTTCAGTGATTTTAATTCTTATATTATCGGATTGATCAGTTTATCAATTTTCACCTTTTCCTTTGTTTCCGTTTTCAGTACGAAATATTTACTGTCTAACTGGTTTACTTTTATTTTATAACCAATTATTTAACTGGTTACAATAGGAATTGATACGTACAAAACGCAGTTACGTTTAGTGTTAACACTAAGTTTATGGAACGCGTCAATTTAACGCATATTGAATTTTATAAATATTATTTGGTAAGTGTTCATGTCGATTTTAATTGATGCAGTTATATAAAAATGTATTTCAATCGTCTCCTTGTAACCCTTTGCACTTGAGAATGTTTCTCTCGACTAATAATTATTATTTCGATGCTCAAGTCAAATGGCGACTCAAATGCACTTCTCGAGTGTAAAGGGTTAAATTTCTAATTTCTAAGATCGAAATGAACGAACATCAACCTTTCTAGGAACAACGAATGAATCTTAGACGAAATTTTACTTCATCTGAATTTTATTTTGATATCACTGGAATTATATAAAACGTTTGATAAATGAATTCTTTTTTTTTTAGTTTTACACCACCAATAATGATAATGATGTCATAACACAGTTCTCACGAGTACTTTGCTGTAAATGTAACAATAGCATTTACGTGTAATGGCAGCTTTTAAGGGTTAAGTAGGCTGTTCCTTTAATAGCGTTACTATTTCGATAGAGCATTCATATAGCGTAGAATTCACAGTAAAATTAATGTACGATGTCACTATAATACATTTGCTAATTACACGCAATTAATTCTCTGGAATAAGCTATTCTAGAAAGAAATATTAAATTATTAGACACCTTTGTGTCAAAGAAAGACATAAATTTTCTGTAAATATCTTATATATTTTAATATAATTCTTAGTATAATATTCCTTAAATCTTGAATTGAATATACACATAAAGTGAATACTTGAATATAAATACGAACATGAAGCTAAAATAAAGTTTCTGTCTCGTCGAACGATAATCCTTTTACTTTAGCAATTCAAATAAATTAAAAACTAAATTAACAGTATCTATAAATAATAGATAATAAATAATAATATTTAAAAAATAAATTTAAAATATTTTCCAAGTTTAATTATCAACGAAACAACTTTCTTGTTCCAGATCACTTCATCGAGAAACTTTCCAAGGAATTACTTCGATGTTGCACGTAGAGAAGCAATCCGGGATTCATGGGAATGCGTTTCTGACAAAGGGGTGAGCCAAGTGGCTCAGGGTTGTGCCGATTCATTCTGAAACATTCTGGTTTTCGGTGCGTTGAAGATATTGTTGTGGTCTTATTGTGAAGTGGCCAAGCACAACCGACATCTGGCCTGAGTACAACTTTATGTCGGTAACCAGGGTTCAGCGAGCAGAACGCCAAAGAAGGCGCAACAGGAAGCTAAAAGTATTTCCGTTTCACTCCTTGAAGTTAGCGCGTTCTTCACCCGCCAAGATGTTGCGTGACAACATGATGTCCTTCGTGAAAAAGGTAACTCCTTCCTCTGAAAATTTAAGACGTCATTAATTTTCTCCTATTTATTATATACCATCATTTTTTCGTTGTGAAATGAAATTTTTCAAAAAGAATATTAAGTTTTGTCAAAAAGTCATATTTCTAAATGAGGTTTAACCGCTTGCCTTATAATATTGTGTCAGACTAATTAATTATTTAATTTGAATGTAAGTTAAATATTACTTGCTTATTGTTCATCTTTATCCTTTGGGGTAAACATAGACATAGAATAAGTATAAAATTCTTTTCTTTTTCTATTGAATTATTAATAATGAAATTGTTTTATCGAACGCAGTTCAGAAATGAATCATAGGGCAAGGGGCTAAAGAAAAACTTCACTTCGTCAAGTTAAACTTCATTGAACTGTGTTTTGTGTATTTTAATCGGAAGTTTTTTATTATCCTTTAGTTTACTTATTTCTAATGTTTATTGGTGCATTATACCATAAACAATGCATTGAACAGTAAAACAGGACTTTTTGATCAATCTAATAGTACAAAGTGAAAGGAAGTTATACACTTCTTTTATTCTTAAACTAAAAATACGAACATATATAAAATAAATTGAGTAATTATGAAAACATAGTTGTTCGTGACAGTTACTGCACAAATGCTATAAAAACGGTGTTGAATATTAAGATCAAAATTAATTCAGTTTTGACTTCTGTTTGATATTCGTTTCTGAAATGATTGTAATGAACTTAAATAATAGTACTTGCTAAAAAGATATGGGTATATTTAGAAAGAAAGTCTGGTACATATTCGGTGAATGCAAAAGTTTTGATGCATTTCCAATAAATGGTGTAATCGACATTGTCTCATGGAAACAATGGTACAGTCAGTTGTTCGAAATATACATTTTCTGGCTTAAGCGAATCATTTTATGATACTTCATATTCCAATTAAAAGTGCACCTTACTAAACATCATTTACGTGTGATAGCGTTGTGTATTTCATAGAATGTTACTTATTACAAGCACTGTAAAAATATATTTGTAATGTGAAATGTATAAAACGAATATAATCCTTATAAAAATTTCGATTTTTCGATATTTTATTTGAATAAAAATATTAAAAATGTATTTCAATCGAATTACATGTAAGATAAAAAACACTTTAATTTGGTTACAAATGAAGTAAAATACCTATTAAAATATTATTACAGATTAAATGAAATTATATCTGGTTACTCCTATGCACCACAAGTAAATTTTGTAGTTTGATATGAATATTCTACGCAATTTAACATATGCAAATCTATGAATCTCGATAGAATAGGTTGTTACAACGTTGAATATTAATAGACTATTCGTATTTCGAAATGAATAGATTTTCAATTATTTTTATTTCATTGTCATGGACTATTTGCTTGTAACAGAATGCATTCGTATTTATACCCATGTACAATATGTATGCACAAAAATCTCTTATTACATCTTGCAATAAAAAAGTAAATTCGAGTAAATATGTTTCAGAAATTTATTATAAATTTGATAACACATATGTTTAGAATAAATGAATAACCTTTTTATATTATGCTCCTGAAATATGAGTATTGATTTGTACATTTCGTTTTATGTATTTCATTCGCGTCTGTAGTTTCGAAATGTTCAGAGCATGTAATTTTCAAACTTTTCTCATTATGTCAGTAGATCCCGTTTACGCTCTACGTTTTTCTGCGAATATCTAACATTTTAATATATCTACTACTTTGTTCCAATTTATCTCTGTATCCTATATTTTCTATATTAATTTCACTGACTAGAATATTTGCTAAGCTTATGCTATTATTTGGACTGATTCTAAACATAATCAACTTTTAATATTTTAATACTTTTTAAATTAATATAGACACAAGTAATCAACGATTAGTTGTACAAGTTCATTTGCTAATGTTTATTTGTGCTTATTGGTGTTAGTTTCATATGTAAATTCACTTAACTTGATTTGTTTACTGAAAAATAAGGTTGGATGGTTTGGGTTTGTAGACTTACAGGTCTATTCACAACTTGTTGCTTCTGTTTTCGGACAGGATATTGTTGATCTTTGAGGGATATCTCATTTAGGAACGTCTTTGTGAAAATTAATCCGTATGCGACCAAAGTAGTCTATTTGAAACTGTACAAGAGAAAGGAATTGCTCGTGCACGCTGTCCAGGCAGTAATAGTAGACGTGGCGTAACACTTTCACACGCCGAATTAACCTTGTGTGAAATAGATGTGATGAAAAAAGGCTTCTCCTTTTCTTGTTCGAAAGTGGACTGTATTTTGTTTAATATTGAGTGAAAGGAATGTGTATATGTTTAAAAAGTTAAAGTGTGTGTGTGTTGTCCAGTGAGTACAACGTGATTGTTATGAACTTGTGATGTATGTCTGTCTGTCTTGTCTCGCAATGTTTCTCTCTCTCTATATATATATATATAAATACTGAGATAGGGCGGTGTCCTTAGTGACAAATCAGAAGGCTAAAACGCTCGGGGTGTTGCTAGTTATAGTTTTTTAACCTACGCTTACATTACTAGTAGCGGAGGTAGGGGGTACGTTGTCCCTTCTGACCTGCAAAGGTACCGGTGGCTGTGCGCTCGGGGTTTAGGTCGTTGAGCTGCCGTTTTTTTTATGATTAATTTAAACAATCAAACGAATATTTTTAGTGCTCTGACGTTGTAATTTCTTTTTATTTTTTAAATGCTTAAATAGGTTATTTAAATAGATTTCAAAGAATAAGTAAAACAGAAAGATTTTGAAGACAATGGTTTCTCATCTATTTAACTTTTTAAATAAAAGCTATTAATGAATTATTCTTAAAACTTTATAGAATGTTACATCTCATGCACATTTATATACGAAAAAATTGTCATAATATATATTTTCAAAATAGTCATAATATATACTACATTTTTAATAAAAAAATTTATTGGTTTCCGTTAAAGCAGTATATTTTACAACATTAAAATGTTAAAAACCGATAGTTATTTGGAAAGAAAATAAACAAGAATTATTTAAAGTTAATTTGATTTACTGGTATAGGTTATTTTTGTCTTCTTGTTTGTTTGATTTTATTTCGTAGAATAAAGTTGAAAAAATTAAAATTTGCACACTTACTAAAAGAACGCTGATAATGTATATAAATAATCTTATGTGTTCGTGTACATGTGTTTATTATTACTCTCTACATATTCTTATAAATTATATTAATAATAAGTTAAATTTTTCGTTTTAAAAAGTATGTCATATTATCTATGTACGAAGCATCAGCAAGGAGACCGAGCTCGATTACGGTGAAGTTAGTATTTTGAGGGCAAACATGGACTAAGTTTCTTCTGTCTAAAACATAAAGTTTTCAACCAGGTATATGTCATCATGGAGTCATTTGTTATAAATAATTAAGCATCTTCCGTGAAAACTGGAGTTTATATACCCCTAATGCGCGCGCGCATATTTGTTTCCGCGAAAGTTGAACACTTTTCACACACCACATGTATATCTTCTCAAATGAAACTTCGCGATATACAAGTTTGCTAAACAGTTGTTCATGAACTTAAATAAAGCAATTTTACTTTTAACTTCACAGCTTCGTGCGTGAAATGTAAAATCTGTTCTAAATGACACGAATCAAAGTGGTTTAATTTATTTTCTAACGTTAAATTTCCAAGAAAATGAAATTTGAACATTTTCACTTTCTTACTTGTTCTGTCTATTGTTTCGGTGACTTTAGTGTCTTCACAAGTATTACTAAAGACACTTTAATTAATAATAAAACAAACAAAATTCAACTAGAATAATACATACCTAAGCACATTTGATTTATAAGAACATTTTAATCAAATAAATACTTTAAAATATCAAATTGTCGGCCATAAAATGGTTCTAGAGCGTAAGTGTATTAGATTCGAAGTACTAATAAAATAAACGATTTTTTATCATCTACCTTCGATCAAATAGAGGAAAGAGTTCAAAAATTCAATTTCTGGGGGACAAGGTACAGATTGAGTTGGAAGTCTGCCAAAACGAATCGTTGCAGTTACTACTGCCAGCGGCTTGTGGACATGATATGAAATTTAGTCTAAATTGTTACATTTCCGACGGTACAGAATTGAGAAGAAAAATGTATAAGAAGATTTGAATAAGTAGTAAATTAAATAGAGTATAGTAAAATTATTGCACATTTATTGTAGAACATTAGTATATAATAGTATGCATTAGAATAAATAAAATTTATATGTAATAGTATGTATAAAATTAGTAAAATAATAGTGAAAAATGTTTATTAGTTCAATTTTGCTTTTTGTTCCACCTTCATGAGTTTTAAGACTTAACTAACACGAAGAGAAGGACTTAATTATGGAAGTGAAAGGGTGAGGGGTGTAGACTATCATCAAAGACGTGCTACGCATGACTACTTTGTAACTGAAAGGAGTAAGGATGTTAGGTAATCCGTCAGTTCAAGTACAGAAGTAGTTCTAGTCCGTTCTGTGCCCAAAACTTCGACATACTTCATTAAAGACATGTCACGTCTGTCTACTTCGTAAGTTAAAGGAATGGCAATGTTAGGCAATCTATCTATTCAATTACAACAGTAGTTTCTATTCTATACCCAAAACTTCGTCGCTCTATATCAATGATTAATAGCTTCCTTGGGTAAATCATAACAACAGTATAAATCAACTTTGATTACCTTAAAGCAGTTCTTTACCCATCAACGAAAATAAAATACAGTAAATTATTAATTAATGTCATTTAGAAAACGACGAGAATTAAGAAATTAGTCGAAAAATGGGAAAGGGTCATAGACGACGACGATCAATACCTCAGAAATGAACAAAAAAATATAAGTATTTAATGAAATAGGTAATTTCGCGATTTGTTATGCGGTCAAAACTAACTTATTTACAGCAGTGTCAATAAAACTACATTTTATTGGTTTCAATACCTATATTTTAATTTTTATAGTTTTTAATATATAGTGCATTTGGTTACCTGAATAATTTTTGGAACAAGTACATGACTACTTAGTAACATGACTACTATTAATAGAATATTTTTCAAAAAACTGAATCAATTAATTTTTCATTTGAATACAAAAGAACTCTGGTATTTATCTCCTGGTAACAAAATACAATTGTAACGTAATAATTATTATTAGTACTACCACTAATAAATCGTGCAAAAATCAAGATATGCCCGTGTTAATATATATGAACATTATAAAGAAATCATTCGGATCCCTGATTTATGATAAATACATGATAAATAAGAATAAAAGTAAGAAAGTGATAAGTATTTCTAGGGAAAAATTTGGATAGTTTGATAATTTTTGCAAATTTGATAATCTGAAAAAGGTTAACCCTTTGCACTCGACAATATTCCTCATTATAAATACTTATTATTTTAATATTATATTTTACAACTAACATAATGAAAAACCTTGCATAAATCAAATGACAAAACTTTATTGCAATATTTTATATGTGGCTATATTACAGAACTTACTTTTATAACTTAAAATGATATTCTAAAAACAATTTTAACATTTTACAAGCTTACTGTATTAAATCAAATGACGGTTGAAAGTCGCCTGTCGAGCACAAAGGGTTAATGCACCATCAGAACCATAATCGCTGGTATGTACACGAAAAAGGCCACCAGTATGATATAATCAACCAGAATACAGGTTGTTGTCAAACATAGAAGTAGTGGATGTAGGACAGCGACGAACAATACTGTGTAACTGTATCCATCCGAAGGCTTTCTCTACGTGACGGATGGCTTTAGCGAAGATCTTGTTACTCGAGTATATACTGATTCTCCCAATGGGTTCCGAATCTTGTCAGATACCGAAGGGACGTCAATACAGAAACTGATTTAACAAACTCCTGCGCCAATTGAATTTCGTCCTGAAATAGCTTACGGATGTCGGTAACTTTTCGCTGTAAGGCAGTAGAGGCACTGTTTAAATAATATTAAGTGTCTTTCGTTTTTCTTTTCTTTGGTTTCATTTAACGTCTTTACAGTAAAATAAAAACTGTATCCAACACGGAAACGAGATACGTGAAGAAAATGCCAGAAAACACGCGATGAAGTGCCAGTGAAAATGGTAACAAAGTTGGTTCATGGAATACCGAAAATTGAAATAACAACCAATGTATAGGTTAAACATATTGATAATTACTATTTAAATAAGGAGTAGTAAATATTTGTATAAAAAATACACTAAAGTAATCCTTTTATTACAGTTTTATTTTTTAAGGTAAATTATTAAAAGGTTAATGCTGATTCTTTTATTTTCTTATGCAAATAATCTTGGTAAACAATCTTGAAAAAGTGTGGTGTGAATCGTATTTGATTCATACGAAACTCAGCGTGTTAACACTTTCGCTGCTACGGTGGTCCCATGAGACCAGAGCTTCGACATGACTTGAAAATAATTATAATTCATAAGATAACTGACTTCGAATAAAAATGTTTAATAGCATAAATAACTACATAACAGTGTAACGTAAAAATTGTGGTATCAAATAATTAATAATTGTTTCTTTTTATCTTTGCCACAAAGGAATAAGTGATACGTAAAACGCTGATGTTTTTTGTGGCAGTCAACGTGTTAAACGAATGCAGCGATAAAAAAGTAAAGGCGTGATTAGGAAAAAAAAGACCAGAACAGTGTAACGGGGTTAAGATCGATCGAATAATTATGAGCCTATAGTGATCTTGCGTGGCTCTCTTGAGGACACATGTATACAAATGCATACAAACGTAGCATCTGTCCTTCGCCCTTCGATCCACAAGCACAGTATAACTAGAGCCTCGCTTTTGAGAGGATTCCAAAGAGGCCGAGACGAGGACTATCTTAATCGGAGCAAGCGATGGAATCTCGGAATGCAAATTCGCCGAGAATATTAAACGGCCGATATTCTACAGTGACCTTTAGTGATGTATTGTTGACGCACTGCACCATACGAGGAGCTGCTGTCTCACGTTGCTGCGAAGAAAAGAGAAAACGCAATTGAATTCCGTCGATTCGAATATATCGGATATCTGCGTACACGTGAATAAAAGCGAATCGCTTCTTTGAATGGGATGATTGCTGTTTGTTGATTTTCATCGAATCAATTTGTATTATGCTTTATTATGCGTGATCCTGTCAACGATCTTTTGTGATACGGAAACTTATAATATTAGATCGTCCCATAAGTTCGTGTCGTTTATTTTTTCCACACATATATGTATATATCTTAAATGTCTTATCTATAAATTTAAACCGAACCCCTTCAAATTCAATTTGCCTCTATAAATCTATTGGTTTAATTAAATAATTTTTTCTTGAATAAATTTTACTTATTTATTAACGTTTTTAGATAACTTACTTCATCAGAATGAAATTTTTCTATATATATAAAACTTTAGAAAAAGTTTTGTTTATCTTTATTTTTAAAAATGAAAGAAATATAAAAAACCGCATTATTTATGGTATGATCCAATATATGAAATAATATTTTATGAAACGTAAAATTCTTATAACATCACGACCTATTACTCTCGAATACTTTCTAATAACTAAATTGAAACATAAATTTTCAGTAAGGCGAGAAGTATTAACACACCACGATACGAACTTATTGGATGATTTAATATAGCGTATATAAAGGGACTTGTTTATAAAAATTAAAATGTGGATGTTTATTTGGAAGAGATAATGTCTGATTACTGCATTGATCTGGATAAGCGCATCGAGTATTTCAAGTAATTAAGTCATAGTTTTAAAGCTATGAAAGAGAAACGAAAATTTCATTAGGAAAAATCAAACGAATGATGTATATTTGCATACTGAAAGTATTTGAAATATTTCAAGCTTATCCCTATTTATGGTGAAAAGGTAATAGTGCCATTAATTCCTTTTTTATTAATTTTATAGACGTCAGTTTTAGTTTCCTTGATATTGCACTTTCGATGCTAATTATCAATGTTATATAATACACTATGTTTACTATACTTAAATTTTAATGATTTTTCTTTAATATTTTAAAGGTTAACTTTTAACATTTTTTTAGTTTAACTTTTAACATTTTCTTTCAATTAAATTTTATTGAAAATAAAATTTCTCGTTTAATGGTCGAATATATATTTTTATGCTCACAACTAATTATTTATAGATCTTATTTAATGTTTAAAGCCACCAATGCATGTCACTCGAAATAACAGAAAAACGCGTTAAATTTCCGAATCACGTACAAAGTTAGTTATCTATAAATTTCGACGGTTTGGGACTCTAATGAAGATTACACGGGAGGTGCTCGCTAGGTTCTAGAAATCGACGATTTCCTGGCGTCTCTAGCTATTACAAAATACAACTTCAATTACGGTTCGCGCGCCCCTGTAATAACTGTGCACGTAACACGAGGTGAATGGATCGTTTTAAACGCTACCCTCGCGAGGAAAATTATTTTCTATTGCAGATCACGACTATTCAACAGTTGAATAAAATCTTCGTCTCAATAAAAACGTCATATAAGCAATAAACAGTTTTATTCTTGAATAAATCTTCTGTATCGAAGAATTCATTGAACTTTCATCTTTTACATCAAAATGATTATATCAGAAGATTATATTGAAGAATTTTCTATAAGGAGTGCTCATGAACGGATAAATTAATTTTGTATCGAGAAAAGAAATGTACTGATACTAATCCCTAGTATAGATCATCCTATAAGTAATGTCTTTTCTTATCTCATCCATTAAGATATTTCTTAATGTCATTTCGAAAATGACAAAAATTAAATTTCGAGAATTAACAAATTAGTCTATAAATAGGGAAAAGTTACAGACAACGACGATCGATGCCTCAAGAAGAAAGAAAATTTAATACCTATTAAATTGATCACATTAAGAAGTCATCATAAAAAAAACATTACTTTTGGACTGACCTAATATTAGCACTTCTAATGTTGCAAGTTAAAAATTAGAATTTTCAGTGCTTTGTATAATATTATAATACTTATTCTTTTATACCAATGATAAATGGTACTAGAATGAATTATTGTTAATGATTTGCTATTACGTTTCTTACGTTACATTATTATCTAATTACATACGTTACTCAATAACTCTATTTCATATTTTTGCCCCTGTTCCTATGATTTCTTACACAACTATGCTTGATAACAGTACCTTATAGTTAATAAGTTAATAGAAAAAGATAAGTATTCGATGCATATTCTATGCATTTAATTGATGTGAAAAATAAATAAATAACGTGGAGATTTGTCGAACTCGGTTAAAAATGTTCATCATGAGTTTGACTCAGTACTATAAAAGAAGAGATTAATCTTATTGTCATTATTCTCAGATGATTCGGGAGCTTCGATCAGCGTGTTCAAAGCACGGATTGAAAAAGTTCCGAAAATAACTATTTGAAACTGTTACATATCGGTTCCGACTAAAACAGTTGTGAAGAGTCGAAATAAGTCATAACTGTTGTTCAGTATATCGGTTTCGGTCCCGATTCTTCAGAACCGATATACTATCTAAGTAAGGAGGAAGAACCGGAAAACCCAGAACGGAAACCGATACACAGAATAACAGTTATAACTTATTTCGATTCTTCATATCTATTTCAGAAACCAAAACCGGCGTCATAACTTTTTTCAATCTTGGGTCAGAAGAAAATATTTTTTAATTAACGTCTCGAATTGTCTTATTTCATTCAGATGATACCGACCACCGCAACGCAGCCAGATTCCGGCACCACGGGATCGGTTCTGCCGGACGAAGGCGTTAACACCTTCAAGATATTGAGGCAGCTGGGTGGTGGCGTAATACGGGATGGTAAGTTCCAATATCGTTGACATACGTAACTGACCGACTAATTCCGTGACACGAAAAAACTCGCAGGGAAGAATCTTTTTTGCCTTTCTCCGTTAATGTTTTCTTCTCATTTCTTTCTCTTTCCCGCGCGTCCTCTGTTGAAGAGGATCCGACGAGACACGGCCGTGCGTGAAAGAGCTCGCGCGCAAATGGAACAAACCCGCATAAATAGCGTGCTCGTTTTTCACTTAATTACTGTGGGAGCCGCGTTTAACAGCGAGACGAGCGGAAAAGTGAGAGTCCGAACACAATCGCGGAACAACGGATGCCCCGTCCCCCTTTTTAAAAGGCACCGCAGTTCTCGCGAAATTACGGGAGACAACTATAATTCATTCCGTGGAACACGAAGTGCGTTCGCAATTTGAATGCAAATATCAATGTAATTTTAGTCCGGGCATGTAGCGCGTGCCTTTGTCACTTCTGTTTCTCCGGGACGGAGTGCTTCAGCACTTAGTACATAACTTAACGAGCAAAGTTTACCTTATTATAATGGCGTAGTACACTTCCTACCTCGATTTGCGCGGACCCTTTTTTACGCGAGTTCTCTTTTTACGCGGTAAATTAGAATACTATTTACACGCTAGTTTTTGGTTACTTTTGTATGATTTTTGGATTTAGTAATATTGACCAAAATGTACTTTTATTTTCTGAAATGTTATTATGATTGTTTCTTTTGTTTGGCTAGGTGAAATAAATATGTATTTATTCAATCATTTGTTTTCTCTTGTATGGATACACTCTATTTACGCGATTTTCATTCGAATTCACGTGGCACGGATTTTCGCATAAATCGAGGGTCAGGTGTACTTACAAACAATTAATGTTTCGTTTTGTGTGCGAGCTCTTCTCGCCGAAGTAGTAAATGTGATAATAAATTTGAGGTGAGTTTATGTGCTTGTCATCAGAAGGGTTCGTTTAGAGTTTTTATTGCTTTTATATTTAATCTTGGTCCTGTGAATGACTTTAAGTTTTTTGATGTTGCATTGAAACTTTGTGTGTGTGTATATAAACTTCGTGTGAAATTTGATTTGAATACTAGAGACAAATAATTTTAGAATAAATGTTAAAGGAATATTTTGTTCCTTTCATTCGTGGAAATAATAATTTGCGAGATATTTCTAATTCAAGAATCACCATTTTTGAAAACTTATACCAAATCACACAAATATTTCCAAAATTTTTAGTGAAATCAGATAAAATTGATATATTTTCTCGAAATTTAAATAGCTTTAGAAGCTTCGTTAAAGAACTATTTATTTAGTGAAATTTAAAATTTAAAATTTAATTCTTTATTTCTTATTATTTTATTATTTATTGTATTCTATTGTAAAATTCTTGCCTTGTAAACTCCTCACACTTGACTTGTATCTCTTCCTTTCCTGTACTAAAGGGCATCCGCCCGCCAAATGGGGAAATAAATAAATTAATTAATTAAATTCAAGAATTACTGTTAGTGTTGTATAATCTCGAGTGGTATTAATAATTACGTAATAAAATAAGTATACATTCAAAAACTTTTGCACAAATAAGATCTTCAAGTGTGACCTACATTTTTATCGTCCTTAGCTGTTCATGACTCTCTAAGAGGTGTTCCGTCCGATACGGAACACCCTAATAAAAGATTCTCGAAGTTTCGTTTATGACATGGACAAGACGGACAGTTCAGTTTCGCATTTATTCTTATTTAATATTTTTGAGTTTTATTTTCTACAACCGACATTTTTACCGTCGCGACAGTACAATTTATTTTAGTTAATTTTAATTGTATACAATAGTCATAGAATTTCGTCTCGTTTGTTTTAATAACCGACCAGGTCATAAGCTCGGAATTTCCGGAGTTCGACCAAACATATCTACAACGGTCCTTACAGACAGGTCTCAACTTGCAGGAAATCTCCGCAAGCCAGCGGACCTTCGAGAAATCCCTCACACACATTGCTCGTCAGCCCCGCTCGGAAAGGGGCTGGCTACAGGGCGTTAGCTAGTATTTAGAAAATAGCAAAGATACGCTGATTGGCGTAAAACTAAAAGGACAACTACTCATTCTCAATCCAACACGAGATGTCGAAATCGGAGACGAGAAGACACTTCGTCACTTCTCACAATCCAGTGGGGCAGTCAAGATAGAGTCGAAAGGACTTCGGTCTTTATACATACACCACACACCAAATACATGATCACTGTTCATATGTTTATAATAAATTGAAATATTAGTTTATCGAGTCGCAATTACTGCAGCATCCAACTTCAACATTTTCTATATCCACTGTCCGTTAAATCAGCGAGTAGAGCGGAGTATCCAGTGAAAGTTCCTTTCAAATTTTAAATAAATTTTTTGCTCACGCCTTAACAAGAAGTATTATATAATTCCAGCAAACTCAATATATCCCTCATGTTTCTTATTTTTGACTTCTTTGGTACTTAAACTGTGTTTGACACCAAAAGAATCGAAACACTTCTTAGTCAGAAAAATCAACCCACCTATTTTAATGTATGCATATATTTTTATTGTTTATTAAACCTTCGATATTTCTTGTATCTGATATTCAAATCTTTTTTAATTTACGTAGACAACAATTATAATTTCTTATTACAATTGTATCGATGTAAGAAATAACATAAATTCTATAAACCACGACACTGCCCGGAAGAATGGTTGAAATAAAAATGAAACAGAACCTTAAACTGCATTCCTGCTACAGTTGAAGTATAAACCTACCATATCTTTTACCCTAGAGAATCGGTATGGCTCTTCGGATACGAGAATTTATAAACATTAGGATGAAGTACGGGAACACAAATCAAATAAACTTAGGGAGAATAAAACCGAGAGAAAGGAAAACGAAAAACGAGTTGAGGAAGTTCTTCATCTTTTCCTCTTGCATTGCCCGTTACGCTTCTACGAATTTGAAAAATTACTTCTCATGATAATATATCATTTTGAAATTATATTCCAAGGAATAGTGGTATACATTTTTTTCTTTACTGAGGAACTGGACAAATATTAGGTTATGTACCCTGCATTTTGATCAAAATAATTCACTTTGTTCTTCCATATACGTATATTTTCGTATTTTCAACTTGAAACCTTATTAACACTAAATTTACACACTAATATAACACAAGTTTATTCTATAGTTTCTAGAAAGATTGGTGTTCGCTTGTTTAGATCTAGGAAATTAGATCTTTAGAAATGTATTATTACGAAATATAGTATTATTAAAATATTTTTTTTATGTTCAAGAAATTGGAAACATCTGTCAGTCTTCGAAAACAAATTTTTCAAGGAGATTCTTTCCTTTCTTGCACAAATTATGCCTGGTGTTGTATTAAACTATTCTGATTCAACTTTTGTTCGATATAATATATATTTCCACAAAGACAAATTTGCAATTTTCCGAAAGTAAATTAAATAAATATTGAAAATCTGTCTTTTTATCTATTTAATTGCAATGTCAATATTTTTAATCAAGATTGATTTTTGAAATGAAGCAACGGAGAACATGAATCGCAGAAGAAATTGAAGTTGGGACGACCGCAATGTTAATTATTGAAAAGGGGGGCGGATTAGAACAGTCGATAGGAAACTAGAGTTAATTTGCGCAACAAAGAAAAGAATCTCCTTGAAAAATTTATTTCCGAAGCCCGACAGATATTTGCAATTTCGAAGAGGTCTCGGCTCCTTCGAGGCAACGAGGTAACCTACTTTTCGACGATGTTCGCTCTCTTCGTTACAGTCATTCTCATCGAATTTACCAAATGAAATAAACTCTAACTCTGGTCTGTGAAAACAGTTTCCCTTGCTACACGATGTATTTGTCTGCTCCCGGCTCTTTTTTTCGTTTGCCCTACGTCTATTCTTACACCTTTTGAAATCTCTTGAAGTAAAAGGAAAGACTTTTTTTGATACTCGTGAATTTGTAGCTCTTCTTTTTCCTAGAATCAGTTTTAACACTATTCTTTTAATTTTTCTAATACTTAAAGTTTTTGAAACAACTTTCAGTATGATTTTCCTAATTTCTCATATATTAAAACAGTAACTTCAGTAACTTTGCAATAACTTCCAATACTATTTTTCTAATTTTTCTAATATTTAAAGTTTTAGTTGTTTTTGTAGTAACTATCAATATGATTTTTCTAATTTCTCTAATTTTAAAACTTTTAGTAGTTTTTATAACAAATTTCAATAGTATTTTTCTAATGTATAAAGTTTTAGTTGTTTTTGCAATAACTTTCGATATGATTTTTCTAATCTTTCTCATATTAAAACTTTTAGTAGTTTCTACAATAAGTGTCAATACCGTTTTTCTAATTTGTCTAATATTAAAACATATAGTCGCTACTGCATTCGTATGGATTTAAAATATGGGTTCTGAAAGTAGTAATTTAAATATAAATTTTAAATGTCGGTTTTATTTCGATACTTCTCAGAATAAATTTGATTAGATCGTCCGTCTTGGGACAGATGAAAGCATTTTAAATTACGTTGTTGTAACTGAAACACTCGTGCATCGTCTCTTGTCGCTGAAAATTTGATGAACAGTGGGAAAAGGACAACTGTGACGTTATCTTCCATAACTTTCACGGTGGTAAACTGAAACATGGCACATCCACCCACATCATATTAGTGTTTACTATTCTGTAAGCTCGCAACGATATAACATAATAATCTTTCGCAAATACATGTTCAAATATATACAACGTAGGAATATACATATAGAATGATATCATTCTATTTATAATCTTTTCTATTAAAATTTCAGTTTATTCGAGTTCTCTATTTTATAAAGTTACGCGTAGGTAGATTAACATTTTGCAGAAATAATAAAGTAAAAGGATATTAAGTTTTTAGTGTATTATTTTGAGTGAATGGTTTTTTAGATGAATACACAAGTGAATCCGTTCGTTGAAAATATAATTTTGTAATCTAAAATTCTCGTTTAGTTATAAGTCTTGTTTAG